TCATTCAATCTTATCGTACTAATAACCCATCCAATCCGGCAAACAAACTTTGTTACGTTAGGGGAGGTGTTTCAATGGTTCTTTCTCTAACAGAATAAGAAGTACCAACTTTTCTTTGCTTTCAAACATACAACAATAAATTCAGTATCATATATATACACCATTTCATGGTGCTGGATTCATCAGAAAATCATGGCAAATTGGCTTATTATTTTCGTCCCCTCCATTGTGTGGTGGTGTTGCTTTGGCAACACCCCTACCACTTGCTTCCAAAATGAGACAGACAAATCAGCTTTGATTGCTTTCAAGGCTGCTACTACAACATTTTCTTAGTTTAGTGACATTTGAAAGTGCCACAAAACTATTGGTTTAATGACATTTTTTAATCTTGTGGCATTTTGAACAAGTGCCATTTGTATCCGTGCCACGGTAGATACTTGCAAGTGCCACTACACCATCATGGCCAAAAACTTTCAATGACATTTTGATGTCATGGTAGATATTATTTGTGGCACTATCAAGCGCCATTAAAAAAAGAGTTAGTGACACTTATAAGTGTCATTATACCATCAAGACTAAAACCTTTCAGTGACACTTTAATGTCATGGTAGGCACTATTCGTGACACTATCAAGCAAGGTTCTAAATATCGGCCGGTACGTGCCATACCGGCCGGTTCGTACCGGAAAGTGGGAGGACCGAGTCGGATACTCACCGGTATACCGGCGAGAATGAATTTCGCATCCGTAGCGGCCGATTCCCGATACGTATCGGCCTGAATCCGATACGTAAGCGATTTGTTTCCGATACAGTCCGATACGGCTGATGCTCTGTTGAAGGTTTGTTCTCTGATGCTGTGTTTGTATATGTGAATGTGATGCTCTGTTTTTTTATTTTGGCTGAAGAAGTCATATATATGTGATGCTCTGTTTTTTTACAAAGGGGATATATATAAGAAGTCTAAGAAGTATATGTGATGCTCTGTGAAGAAGTCACCTTCGATTGCAGTTCTGTGCAGTGCCACATAACGACCTGGAAAAATGGCCAACAGAAAATTCAAAGTAAATTTAAGTTTTTAGATGCTGTTTTAAATATTATTATTCAATTGTCTTCTCCACAGCTCATTAAGTTTTACCACTATTTCTGTGCAATAGGAAAGAATTTCATTTCGTGAGTAAGACTTCTTTTCAGCCCTTTAAAAGGAATATACATTATTTAAATTATAAAATTTTATTATTGGATGTCAACATCAACTTTTAAGAAAAATTTATATAGAAGTTTTGGTAAATATAACCAAATATTGGGTACTCTTAAAATATATATTTAAAAAGGATATATCATAAGTAGATTATGACATTTTGTGATTTTAAAATATAGATATTTTAATTAAAATGTGATAAATTAAAGTTAAAAGAGTCAAAAAATACATAGAATTGAGTTTTAGATGGATTGTTAATGACTTTTGAAATTTCACAGTCGCGATGCCCGATATCCGATACGTACCCGTCGATACTACCGATACCGATACTCCGCGATCGATACCGTTACGTTACCCGATACCGCGATTTAGAACTATGCTATCAAGTGTCATTCGTGACGATAATTCGTTGTAGAACAATTTGATCCGCTCTTGCGGAGACTCGAACCACCAACCTCCCGCACCATAAACCTTATACACCATACTCTTCCCACTACACCTCTATAGCACCACATGATTATATATGCAACATATATTATTTATATAGTACATACATCCATATTAATATAAAAGTATATGTATAAACATAATTATTTTATTGAACATAATTTATGTAAAATAAACTATTTACTAGCAAAATAAAAAAAGACCACTTTTTTAGTCGCCAATTCTATACTGTTGGCTACTAATTGTTTTTTAGTTGCTAAAAAACTTAACTTTTGCCGACCAAAATCTGATTTGGTCGCCGAAGATGCACTTTCAGCTACCAAAATTTTGGTCGCCAAAAAATTTAATTCCCGCCTTAGGATTTTAGTTCTCCGGCGCTAAAAATGACCACTTTTGGCGACTAAACTTATTTTTTAATCGCCAATTGTAGACTTTTGGCTACTAAAATTTTTTTAGTTACCAAAAAGCTTTACTTTTTGGCTATGAAAATTTTTTTAGTTGGTAAAACCCATATAATCAATGACCAAACTTATTTTTTGTCGCCAATTGTAGACTTTTGGCTACTAATGCTGTTTTGGTCGCTGAACGTAGCTTTCAGCGACCAAATTTTTTTGGTCCGAAAATTTAGTCGCCGAATGTGCTTTTTCCTGTAGTGTATATTGAGTTTAATTTATTTATTTTTAATCTTTTACTGCATTTTAAAAATTTAGAAAATATATTGGCATTTTTTGTTTTTTCAAAAATACCATTATAAGCTTGGAAAGTTTTTGGCTTAGTGGCATTTCTCAAAATGCTATAAAATATTTGTTTATGACACTTTTCACCTAAGTGCCATAAAAAGTAACTTGCACCTACCTAATGTCCTGACATTTTTAAAAAAATGCCATTGCTACTAAAGTTTAGTGGCATCGGTTGGTAAATGTCACGAACATAATTTTTTGTGTCATTATTTTATAAAATACCATAAAATTGATGTGACATTTCTTTATTGAAATGCCACTAGAGCCTTATATGTTTGTGGTTCTGTGACATTTTTCTAAAACATTTAATGCCAATTTTTATTTTTGTGGCATTTTCTAAAAACATACCACTAGTGTAGTGTCACTAAAGTGTAAATTTGTTGTAGTGACATTTTTGTTGTAGTGAAGTGACAATTTTTTTAATTGAAATGCCACTAGAGCCTTGTATGTTTATGGCTCTATGACATTTTTCTAAAAAATGCCACCAAATATCCTTTTTATGACATTTTTTAAGAACATGTCACTAGTATGGTGTCACTAAAATGTGTTTTTGTTGTAGTGTGCCATTGATCAAGACCCATTTGGGGCATTGAGATCCTGGAATGATTCAGTGCACTACTGCGATTGGAATGGCATCTTGTGTAGTCATCGACATCTCAATAGAGTCGTGAAGTTGGGACTAAGGTCGCAAGGCCTGGTGGGATCACTCTCACCTCATATTGGAAACCTCTCCTTCCTCAAAAGCCTCATTTTTCAAAACAATAGCTTCCATGGCCCAATCCCACAAGAGATTGGTCGCTTGTTTCGACTTCGAAACATTTCACTCAGTAACAATTCATTTCATGGTGAAGTACCCACCAACTTTTCCCAATGCTCAAATCTTGAAATCCTTAACTTGATCGACAACAACCTAACAGGAAACATCCCGGCCGAGTTAGGATCTTTGTGGAAGCTTACACTTTTAGGCTTAAGTATTAACAAGATTTCAGGAACCATCCCTCCTTTTCTTGGCAATCTTTCTTCTCTTACCATACTCTCCTTAGGACGATGTGCTTTGCATGGAGAGATTCCAAAGGAAATTGCCCAACTTCAAGGCTTGGTATTGTTTTCTATCTCTGAAAACAATATAGCTGGCGAGGTTCCTTCAAGCATTTACAACATCTCCACTCTGTCTTCATTTGAAATTTTTTATAACCAACTTCGTGGAAGCATACCTCCTGATATAGGCTTAACCCTACCCAATCTCAAGCTTCTTTTTCTTGCTGAAAATAAGTTCACAGGACCACTTCCTATTTCATTGTCAAATGCTTCCAAACTTCAATAGATAGGCTTTGATTATAACAACTTTGTGGGGCCAATGCCAAGAGATCTGGAAAGACTTTTAAGTCTACGAAGGTTTGGCATTGGTGGAAATTTGTTGCAGGATGACCTCAATTTTATTTCATCAGTAACGAATTGCACGAGTTTACAAGGGTTTAGCGTTCGCGGCAATTTTCTCAGAGGTCCGGTGCCCGAGTCCATATCTAATCTCTCTCCGAGGTTAACATAATTAGAATGGAGGACAATGAAATATATGGAAGCCTACCATCAGGTATTGGAAATCTCCTCAATCTCGGTAACATTGATATGGCAATGAATCGTCTTAGTGGCCCTATTCCTACCATCATTGGGAAACTTCATAATTTGCACGGACTTTACTTAGGCATAAACTATTTCACACAACTACCATCTTCAATAGGTAACTTAACTTTGCTGAATGATCTCTACTTGGTGCAAAACAAAATCCATGGAAGCATACCTTCGAGTCTCGGCAACTGTAAGAGCTTGTTGGATTTAAATCTTGCTCATAATAATTTCCATGGCTCAATACTCCCTGAAATTATGAGTCTCTCTTCCATTTCAATTTCCTTCGACTTATCTTACAATGCGTTGACTGGTTCTCTTCCATTAGAAGTTAGGTCTTTGAAAAATCTTGCAACATTAGATGTGTCCAATAATAGATTATTAGGATCTATTCCGAACTCTCTAGGCAATTGTTTGAGCTTGGAATGGCTTCATTTGGAAGGTAATTCATTTGAAGGCAAGATACCTCAAAGTTTGAGAGAGTTAAGGGGTTTACGAGAGTTGGACCTTTCACGCAACAATTTATCGGGGTTGATCCCAAGTTATCTAAGTGATCTTTTAACAAGCTACATGGGCGAGTTCCAATGGAAAGAATTTTTCAAAATGAAAGTGCTATTTTGGTGGTTGGTAATAATGATCTATGTGGAGGCATTCCATACTTGCGTCTTCCTCTCTGCCCATCCTCAAAGTCCAACAAGAATAAGCTCTCTCACAAGATGAAAGTGATACTCACTGTTGTGGTTGTTCTTGTGTTATGTTCAATTTGCTTGGTTTGCTTATTCATGTTCCTTCATTGGCAACGTGTTTCAAGAAAGAAGGCCTTTTCGATACCATCACTCAAGCACCATCTGTTAGAGGTTTCTTATGCAGAACTTTTGAAAGCTACTGATGGATTCTCAAAGGACAAGCTAATTGGTGTTGGGAACTATGGTTCTGTTTAGAAAGGAATTCTTGATCAAGTTTAGACAATAGTGGCAATAAAAGTACTCAATCTCCAACTCAGAGGAGCTTCTAAAAGTTTTATGTCAGAATGCAAAGTACTAAGAATCACAAGACATAGAAATCTCTTGAAAATTTTGAGCGCTTGTTCTAGTGTGGATTTCCAAGGTAATGAATTTAAGGCTTTGGTATATGAGTTTATGGCCAATGGAAGCTTAGAGAAATGGTTGTGTCATGATGGAATCGAAAATAATGGACAAGAAGAAGAATCCAGAAATCTAAAGTTGATTCAAAGGCCAAACATTGCCATAGATGTTGCTTCTGCAATTGAGTATCTTCACTGTCATTGTGACTCAACAATTATTCATGGTGATCTAAAGCCAAGTAATGTTCTTTTGGATGATGAGATGATCGCTCATGTTGGAGACTTTGGGTTAGCCAAAATTATCTCCACTATTTCAGATGAGGTGGTACAACATCAGAGCAATTCAACTGCAGTAAGGGGAGCTATAGGCTATGTTGCTCCAGGTATGGGTTCTTTATAATCCTTATAATCATGCAACCACAAACGCACGAGAAGAAATTAACATTACCCTTCCTACATATGCTTACTATAAAGACGTACATTTCTTTTGATATCCTATTTTAAGAGCTCTTTGACACACATGCCAATGAGTGCCCCCTGATATGTTGTATAGCTTTGTCATTATAGCCATTCTTGGGTGTGTTCTTGCCTGGCTTGAATGGATTGTCGAACTAGAATTGCTTTTGAACTGTATTTTTGTTAGTTAGTAGTTACCATCAAAATGCCTTGGATTATGACCAAATCAACTTTGAGTTCAATCTAAATGCAACCATTTTGATCTTATGGAAATTTAATTGTGCTTGATGTCGTTAGCCAAACTGAACTTGTCCATAAACCTGACTTATTTTCCTATTTATTTATTTATCTAGTTAGGATTCTAGTGTGTAATTTTAAGCACATCGAGACCCACCGCTTTTGCCAATGTGAAGAATCCAACATTTATATCTTATAGCATTTATTAGTTGTAACATATTCCAAAAGCTTCCTAAGATTGTCTAAATTCTAGAAACGATGTAATAAAGAATTATTTTTACTGGTTAGATTCATATAAGTTATATTGAATATTTGGAAAAAGATGAAAATCATGGAACAAACAATCAATTCCTAAGGGAATGAGGATGACTTGGTGTATTGTTTAGTCAGAGAGATTTATTGTTGGGTCGACATTGGTATATATATCTTCAAAATGCTGGTAATAAGCCAGAAAAATAAATTCTCACATGTATAAAATGGGTGGGTGGGGACTGTAGATCCTACCTACCCCCCTTCCCTCACAAAAAGGGGGGAAAAAATTGAAATATTGTGTTTTCGTTTCTTTATTCAAAAAAAAAAAAAAAAATTGAAATATTGTTGATTCATCTTCTTGTAACCTTGTTATATTGGCATTTGACTGTATATCCCAAGACTAAGTCGATCCAACTTGAACAACCTTTTTTCTAAGTACAACTGCCAGTAAAGCACACTAGTTTTTCTAGGCCGTCTAATGTCTGACAAAAAATATTCAAATCATTCATTGAATTTGCAGAGACAATGATGGAAACTCTTTGTAAGCCATTACAAACTCTCTCTGACTCCATCATTTTTGGAAACTTACAAATTTGATTACGAAAGAAATATCCATGCTTGACTCATTTTGTTTGATTCAATCAAAAGACAATTTATTTTTTTCAGTATAACATATTACATTCAGTTTTGATTTCATATTCTGGGTTCCCATTCTCACACATGTACAAACACAAAAAATTGAAAAATTGTTATTGACATATGTGAAAAGGCAACATTATGCCCTCAACAAGATTGTTTCTTTCAACTACAGTTGGCTTATATTTTAAAAATTATTTTACTATTACAACTATGTGAATTAATCAGACTCTTAATTTGCGAACTGTTGGGTACTGACACTTAAATCAATTTGCAGAGTATGCCATGGGCAACAGGGCTTCCACAATAGCCGATGTGTATAGCTATGGGATTCTTCTCTTGGAGATGTTTACAGGTAAAAGACCAACTGATAACGTATTTAAGGATGATCTAACTCTTCATATCTTGGTTGAGAGTGCTTTGCCCGACCAAGTGCTAGAGATTGTGGATCCCTACATTCTTTCAGAACACGGGCCAAGAAGTTGGCTTAAAGACAATCTGGTTTCTATCTTGAGAATTGGAGTTGCATGTTCAATGGAATCACCAAGGGATCGAATGCAGATTCAAGATGTAGTTAACGCATTATGCAAGATAAAAAAAGTTTGTGAAAATTATGGGTTGAGACAAGACTAGGAAAATCTTATCAAACATGAAATCCAAAGGTGTGTCTCCCATCAACTCTCTTCCATATATGTGTGCATGACAAAATGGATTTTTGCCCTTTCCCAAAATCTAAGTTTGATTTCTCATAATTTTCTTTTGGGTTTCAATTTTGTTTGCGTAGGAAATACAAGCAAATCAAATCATGCTAATGACTACCCTGTTAGGACTATCGGACACTAGAAATCAATTCCACACAATAACACAAGAATATTTACGTGGTTCGGCAATTGCCTACGTCTACGGAGAGCGATATATTATCCGGAGAAAGATTACAGAACTCTCTCACAAACACTCTCACACTTTGTTCTCTCTGTGTTGCTGCTTACTTTCTTTCCTCTCAGCCTCTCCATTTATACATATAGATGGTAGGTGAGGAGAGCCAGCTTGTTCTTCTCCTTTCGGTGGTCGTTGCAAATCTGTCCACCTTTGCGGCTAGCCAACCGACAAGCCGTATTCCTTGACAAGCTATGCTTTCACATGGAGGATGGTCTTCTTATGAGCTGGAGACTAACAATTCTCCCCCTCCATGCCCATAAGGATAACTGACTTCTCACTTGAAGTCCATCCCGGTCAGATTCTTGCAAACTTCCAGGTTGTCTCTGGTGACACCCTTGGTCATCATGTCAGAAGGATTCTTGTCTGTGTGAATCTTCACTAGCTTCATCAGCTGCTTTTCCATCACTTCTCGTATCCAATGATACCGGACATCAATGTGTTTTGTACGTGAATGGTACATGGAATTCTTGCTCAAATCAATTGCACTTTGACTATCACAATGTACCTTGTATTCTTCTTGCTGTAGACCCAATTCTTGGAGAAACCGCTTTAACCACAACATTTCCTTTCCTGCATCTGCGGCAGCAATGTACTTTGCCTCTGTTGTAGATAAAGCAACACACTTTTGTAGTTTGGACTGCCATGAAACAGCTCCCCCTGCAAAGGTGAATGGAAATCCCGATGTAGACTTTCTACCATCAAGATCACCTGCCATATCGGCACCTGTAAAACCCTCCAAAATTGGTTCAGCTCCCCTAAAACATAAACACATCTTTGAATTTCCCTTCAAGTACCGTAGAATCCATTTGACCGCCTTCCAATGCTCTTTTCCTGGATTGGCGAGGAATATGCTCACAACGCCAACTGCGTGAGCTATATCTGGCCGGGTACACACCATTGCATACATCAAACTTCCTACTGCGGAAGAGTAAGGGATTGTCTCCATTTCTTTCCTTATGGAGCTGGTCGTGGGACACGAACGCTTTGACACATTGAAATGGTTGGCCAGTGGTGTGCTGACTGGCTTGGCATCTTTCATATTGAACCTTTCAATTACTCGTTCAACACATTTCTCCTGTGATAGCCATATCTTCTTGGTTTTCCTGTCACGAACAATCTTCATGCCCAAAATTTGCTGTGCTGGGCCTAAATTCTTCATGTCAAAATACTGCGACAAGTCCTTTTTCAACTTGTTGATCATAGTAGTATCATGTTCGATGATCAGCATATCATCAACATACAACAGTAGGGTAATGAAGTTTCCATCCGAAAACCTTCGGAAATATACACGCTGGTCTGCCACTGTTCTTCTGTACTCGTGATCCACCAAAAATGAATCAAACTTCTTGTACCATTGTCTCGGCGCCAATTTCAGGCCGTAGAGACTCTTCTTTAGTTTGCAGACTAGATTCTGTTTTCCTTTAACTTCAAATCCTTCTGGTTGCTCCATGTAGATATTTTCCTCCAACTCACCATGGAGAAAGGCAGTCTTGACATCCATTTGTTCTACTTCCAGATTCAAACGAGCTGCTAATCCCAAAGCTACTCGAATAGAAGTCATCTTCACAACTGGGGAGAAGATCTCATCAAAATCAATTCCTTTATTCTGCCCAAAGCCTTTGACCACCAAATGAGCTTTATGCTGCAATAGTTTACCGTTTCCATCTTTCTTTAACTTGTACACCCATTTGTTTTTCAAGGTTCTCCTGTCTCTTGGAAGTGGAATAAGCTCATAAGTGTGGTTCTTCTGTAAAGAACTCATCTCCTCCTTCATGGCTTGCATCCAACAGTCTTTCTCTGTATGACTCTTGGCTTCCGAAAAACTCTCGGGTTCCCCCTCATCAGTAATCAGAATATACTGAGAAGCGGGGTATTTGGTTGATGGCACGGCAGCTCTTCCAGATTTCAGCAACTAAGGCCCAGTTGCCTCTGTTTGAGGGGGTTGCTCCCCCTGCTCAACACCCTCTTTATCCGGGTCTTCATCTCTTTCCTATTGATCCTCAATTTCTGGCATAGGATCCTGCAACTCTGGCACTTCTTGTTGCACATCATCACATCTAGCATTCTGTAATGGCTTGGGAGATGGAAACAAGTCTAGAGTGATGACATCTCTAGACTTTGCAGATTTCTCAAAATTTGCTATTGTCTGGTCTTCTTGGAACATAACATCTCTGCTCCTGAACATCTTCTTGTTCACTGGGTCCCACACCTTATACCCAAATGCTGCATCTGAATAGCCCACAAATATGCATGGAGTGGACTTGTCATCAAGCTTCTGTCTGTTTTCCTTGGAGATGTGTGCAAATGCCTTACACCCGAAGACTCTCAAGTGAGAATATGATACCTTTCTTCTGGACCAGACTTCCTCAGGTATCGCAAAATTCAACGGGACTGAAGGCGACCTGTTGATGAGCTAACAGGCTGTACGGGCGGCTTCAGCCCAGAATGACTTTGGCAACTTTGCCATTTTGAGCATACATCTGACTCTTTCCATAATAGTGCGGTTCATCTTTTCTGCCACACCATTGTGTTGTGGGATGCCGGGAACTGTTGTCTCGTTCCGGATACCTCTGCTGGCACAGTATGCTGCAAAAGCATTGGAAATGTACTCCCCTCCATTGTCTGTGCGAAGACACTTCAACTTCTTCCCGGTCTCTCTTTCCACCATTGGAAGGAACTCCTGAAAGTGCTAAAATACCTCATCTTTTGTCTTCAGGAAATACACCTATAACTTCCTTGATGCATCATCAATGAAAGTCAGAAAATACTTGCGGCCGCCATGTGACTCCATTTCGATTGGGCCACAAACATCCGAGTATACCATATTGAGCACTTCTGTTTTCCTCTTGCTGGTTGAACTGAATGATACTCGATGTTGCTTGCTATAAAGGCAATGATCACACGGCTTCAAAGCACTCCCTTTGGATAAGGGTATTCTGGATTGCTTTGCCAATAGATGCAATCCCTTCTCACTCATGTGAGCCAGTCTTCTGTGCCATAAGTCCGGTGACTCCTTGTCTTCTGCTGCATTAAGACTTTCCAGACAGATCTTCGTTTGAGTCTTATACAGTGTTGAAGACATCTCTCATCTGGCGATTGTCAAAGCTCCTCCTATCAGCTTCCAACGGCCATTCCCGAATGTACTTGTATAGCCTTGTTGGTCCAGGGCGCTTCCGGAGATAAGATTGAGGCGCAAATCTAGAACATGCCTTACATCTTTGAGAATCAGCTTGTTCCCGACATTAGTTTGAATACTAATGTCTCCAATACCCACAATCTTCGAATAGCTAGAATTCCCCATTCGAACAGTGCCAAAATCTCCAGCGTTGTACGAGCTGAAGAGTTCTCTGTGGGAAGTGGCGTGATAGGATGCAGCTGTATCTATCACCCATTCTGTGTAGCTGTGGTCAGCCACGTGAAGGCAATCTTCCTCTTCACCAACTGCAAGAAGTATTTCATCAGTTGTTGTGGCTGTTGTGTTCTCATCTCCTTTTGACTTACTGCTTTGGCCTTTCTGTTTCCGGCTTGGGTAGTTTCTCTTTATGTGACCCTCCTGGCCACAGTGATAGCAAGTGAAGCTGGAGTTACCTCGACCTTTGTTGTCTCTGGATTTACTCCTGTTGTTCCAGCTGCCTCTACTCTTGCTTCTTCCTCTACCTCTTCCTTTACCTCTGTCTCTACCTCTATCTTCTGTAACAAGAACATGGGACTGATTATGGGACTGATTACCTCTTATGTCTTTCCTTCTTGTTTCTTTATTGTACATGGCGTCTGTGACCATACTCATGGTCAGTTTCCCTTCTGGTGCAGAGGTGCTGAGAGACACCACCAATGTCTCCCAGCTATCCGGTAAAGAACTGAGCAGTAGTACGGTTTGCATTTCATCGTCCAATCACATCTTGACGGTTGTAAGCTGATTCACCAAATTTTTGAATTCACTGGTGTGCTCGGCGATAGACACACCATTCTTCAACTTCAGATTTACTAGCCTTCTCATCACCAAGGCTTTGTTTCGGGCGGTCTTTGACTGGCACATGTCATTTAACATTGTCCAAAGAGCATAGGTATCTGTCTCTTCGACAACATGATGGAACACACTGTGGTTTATCTATTGTCTTATGCAAGCAATAGTCTTGCGGTTCTTCTTTATCCAGTCATTATCTTTCACTCCTTCAGGTTTAACCCCCTTTATAAAAATGGGGTCAAACAAATCCTTTAAAAATAGGATGTCTTCCATCCGTGACTTCCAAATTGCATAATTGGAAGGAGTTAACTTGAGCATAGATTCTGAAGTTGATGTGGACGCCTCCATCGTATTCGGTCTTTTTACAAAAAAATCTGAATGAAAAATCTGACCGTACAGATGTGTCCGGAATACTCCAAATAGTTGAAAAACACTATTGGATTGTCAAAAACGGACACAGAATGGCTCAGATTAAGCCAAAACAGTTTAAACGGTTCAGATCCGTGGAATCTGGTGCCCCTGTGAAGCACCGGATGATTTCTGCGATTTTGGCTGAGTCAACGGCTCTGTCAATGAGCCGGTCAACGCGGCTTGGAAGCAGCGCGGCTGGTCAACGGCGCGGCTCACGGCTCGGTCAGCGGCCGGTCAACCCTGCTACGTGTCTGCCTATCTGCCACGTGGTGCTGACGTGTGGCTAACGTGGCGATGACGTGTGCACTGACGTTTGCACTAACGTGGCGCTGACGTGACGTTGACGTGGCGATGACGTAGCGCTGACGCGGTTCCCACATGGTCGTCTTCTCCCTTACGCCGCGCGTGATTGCGCGTGCGTGTGTCTGATCTGACGCACTGGCTGCTGGTCGGTGCGTGACGGCGTGTGTGAGCGTGTGGGTTTACGTGCTTTCTTTAGGGGGCGCGTGCGGGTGCATGTGGGCTCTTCTGGAGCTCTGCTTTGCAGTTCTGGACTCGTCTTGTTGAGACCTTGCTCCTGGTATGCTCAAAATCGGATTTCGAGCAACTTCATTTCTGGGCAGTTTCGAAAAACACTCTGTTTTTGTTCCGAAACGCAACCGATTCGGCTCTGATACCACTTGTTAGGACTATTG